TTTAGGGTTTAGGGTTTAGGGTTTAGGGTGCGGCTTGTTAATTAGGTGCTACTGGCAGCTGCGCGCGCTGCTGCGCAAACAGAAGCTTCCTAAAGAATGGATTTGCTGCTCAGCAGCGCCTGCAGCAGCAGCAGCAGCAGCAGCAGCAGCAGCAACAGCAGCAGCGGGAGAAACAGCAGCAGCACAAACGCGCACGTGTCTCGTTTGGGGAGAGTTCAAGGTACTTTCATTCTAGAAACGAGCAACCTTCTTGTTGCTCTAGGGTTTAGGGTTTAGGGTTTAGGCTTAGGGTTTAGGGTTTAGGGTTTAGGGTTTAGGGTTTAGGGTTTAGGGTTTGTGCGTCAGGTCCCGCTGAGCTGCTTTGAATGCGTAGTCGCAGCAGAGGCGAAGAGGAAGGCGTTGAGTCTAGGCTCTCCCAAGGGGTAAACCCTAAACCCTAAACCCTAAACCCTAAACCCTAAACCCTAAACGTCGATTAATAAACAACAACTGAGACGTTCAGTGGGTTTTTTTTACGGGCGTTTTCTGCGCCGAGAAAGGCTCCTCTGAAGGCTCCGCAAACCCCAAACCCTAAACCCTAAACCCTAAACCCTAAACCCTAAATCGGTGTTTCAGGTATCTGCACTGCAACCTCCGGCGGCTGCGCTGCGCCAGCAGCTCTTCTTATCCCCACATTTATCTTCTAATGGCTCCCCAAACCCTTGCTGCTTTAGACCCTGAAGCAAGGGCCAAGCAGCAGCAGCAGCAGCAGCAGCAGCAGCGGCAGCAGCAGCAGCAGCAGCAGCAGCAGCATCTGCTGCTGCTGGCGTTCAAGCAAAGCGAGCACTCGACGGTGCATTTCTATTTGCCCACAGAAGCTGTTGCTGCAGCAGCAGCTGCCTTTCTTGCTGAAGACAGCAGCAGCAGCAGCAGCAGCAGCGCGGATGAAGCAGAAGCAGCAGCAGCAGAAGCAGCAGCAGCAGCAGCAGCGCAGCAGCTGCTGCTGCTTGCGCAGAAGACACTGACACCCCACGACTACTCTTATGTTGGCAGCCTCAGCAGCAACTTCTGGGGGACCAAATTTTTGCTGCACGACTGGGGGCTTCCTGAGCCCTACAGCAGCAGCAGCAGCAGCAGCAGCAGCAGCAGCAGCAGCAGCAGCAGCAGAGTGGAGGGGCCAGAGCCTGCTGTCTCCTTTGGGGAGACTGAAGAGACACAAAGACACACAACGCCCTGGGGAGCATTTCCCCGCATGCCAAACACGCAGCAGCAGCAGCAGCAGCAGCAGCAGCAGCAACAGCAGCAGCTGCAGCAACAGCAGCAGCTGCAGCTGCAGCAGCAGCAGCAGCACTTGCAGCAGCAGCAGCTGCAGCAGCAGCGCTTGCAGCTGCAGCAGCTGCAGCTGCAGCTGCAGCTGCAGCTGTTGCAGCGGCAGCAGCTGCAGCGGCAGCAGCTGCACCAACAGCAGTTGCAGCAGCCGCAGCTGCAGCAGCCGCAGTTGCAGCTGCAGCAGCCGCAGCTGCAGCAGCAGCTGCTGCAACAGCAGCAGCAGCAGCAGCAGCAGCAGCAGCAGATGCTTTTGCCCAGTACTAACCTCGAAGGACGGCAGCTGGCGCCTGGGAGGAGCGACGAGGCTACTGCTGCTGCATCTGCTGCTGCGCCTGCTGCTGCTTCTGCTGCTGCTGCGCCTGCTGCTGCTTCTGCTGCTGCTACTGCTGCTGCTGCTGCTGCTAGCAGCAGCAGCAGCAGTTTGCTGCAGCAGCTGCCCCACAGCGAGCAGCGGCTGCTCGCCAGATTTTCTTTTTCAAGAAACCTCAGCGGTGATGTACCTCGCAAGATGAAAGCTCAACTAAATAGAAAAGGTAAACCCTAAACCCTAAACCCTAAACCCTAAACCCTAAACCCTAAACCCTAATTGCGTGTGCAGGTGGGGTTTGTGCCCTCGAGCCCTTGCCTGCTCGCCGGGACTCTTCCCTCGCACTGCTAAACCCTAAACCCTAGCCCCAAAAAGCCGCAAACCCTAAACCCCAAACCCTAAACCCCAAACCCTAAACCCCAAACCCTAAACCCCAAACCCTAAACCCTAAACCCTAATTTGGCGTGTAGGAGGGGTTTGCGCTCTCGAGCCCCTGCCTCCCCGCTGGGACTCTTCTTTGAATTCTTTTTCTCTTCCTTTTTACGGAAGAGCTCGTTTGCCTTCTGCGAAGAACTTCCAAATGGTGCTGAGCAGCAGCCAGCAGCAGCAGCAGCAGCAGCAGCAGCAGCAGCAGCAGCAGCGGGAGGCAGCAGCGGGCTTCGAGCAGCAGCAGCAAAAGGAAATCTACTTCATGTTTGGAAAAGAAGAAAAAGACAAATTCTGTTTAGACCTCCGCTGGCCAGTGCAGGCCCTCGAGGGTTTTGCAATGGCTGCTGCTGCTCTTGCGAAAAAAAGAGTGGTTTCGTAGTTTGCTGCTGCTGCTGCAGCAGCAGCAGCAGCAGCGGTGCTGCTGCAGCAGCTGCTGCCGCGGCGCTCCTGCTGCTGCGGCTCGCTGCTAGGTTACGTTGCTGCGGCGACGCACGCTTAGGTGCAGCAACTGCTGCAGCAGTGAGAGCAGCTGCTGCTGCAGCTGCTGCTGCAGTTGCTGCTGCAGCCGCTGCTGCTGCAGCCGCTGCTGCAGCAGCAGCTGCAGCAGCCGCTGCTGCTTTTTGAGCTTCGGCGTCGCTGTTTTTTTTCGTTTTTCTTCTTGACAATGTACAATTGACTAGATGGCTCAACGTATGGCCTGCGGTTTAGGGTTTAGGGTTTAGGGTTTAGGGTTTAGGGTTTAGACAAGTGGTCAGTCGCGTAGCCTTGCGGAGTCTGGGACAGCAGCAAAGGTAAGTCTTTAAGTGTTATGAAGTGGCAGCAAATAAAATGAATTTAAAAAATAAAAATATGAATTTAAATAAAAGTAAATCCAATTAAATAGATAGTTCCGGACGGGGGCTGCGTTGGGGGTTTAGGGTTTAGGGTTTGGGGTTTGGGGTTTGGGGTGGTGTTGTGGGGATTTCCAGCGGCAAAAATAGAGCGAAAAGCCTCCAAATGAGTTATCTGTTTCAAATTATTTAAATTAAAAACAAAAAAAAGAAAATAAAAACAAAAAATAATATAAAAAACTCCTGAGAAGCTCGCATGCTGCTGCTGCTGGCCCCCAGGGGGCTGTCTGCGCGTGTCTCTGGCGGTCTTTTAGTTCTTTTTGGAAATAAAATCGAAAATTAATTTTAATTAATTAAATTAAATTAATTTTTGTTTTCCAAAGCCCCATGGAGCCCCACGAGAACGGCAGCTGCTGCGGCGGCCACTGCGACGGGGCCCCCCCACCTGCTGCAGCAGCAGCAGCAGCAGCAGCAGCAGCAGCAGCAGCAGCAGCAGACACGAGCCCCCCCCACGCAGCAGACACGGAAGTGGACGTCAGCGGCGACGGGGGCGTCATCAAGCGAGTGCTGGTTCAGGGCACAGGCGAGCGGTGAGCAGCAGCAGCAGCAGCAGCAGCAGCAGCAGCGCAGCAGCAGCAGCAGCAGCAGCAGAAGTGTTGCTGCTGCTGCTGTGCCGGGGTGCTGCTGCTGACGCAGCGGCCCCGCTGCAGCAGGGGCCCTTCTGGGGCAACAACCTTCTTAGGGTTTGTGGGGAAACCCTAGAAGCAAAATAGGGTTTAAAAAGGGTTTTGAAAAGGATTTGCTGCTGCTGCTGCTGCTGCTGCTGCTGCTGCTGCTGTTGCTGCTGCTGCAGGCCCCCCAAGGGCTACGAGGTGGAGGTACACTACGTGGGAAAGCTGGAAGATGGCACTCAGTTCGACTCTTCTCGTAAACCCTAAACCCTAAAAAAGGGTTTAACGGCGCAGAAGGAAGCGCCCAGGGTCAAGGCCTCAGGCTTAAAGACTGAGGGTTTAGGGTTTAGGGTTTAGGGCTGGGGGGGGGAGGGCTGTTGAGTGGGGCGACGGCGTCAAGATCACTGCCCTAGGGTTTAGGGTTTAGGGTTTAGGGTTTAGGGTTTAGGGTTTAGGGTTTGTGTGCAGGCGACCGCGACAGCCCCTTCCGGTTTGTGCTGGGAGAGGGCCAAGTTATTAAGGGATGGGATTTGGGGGTTGCAACTATGAGCGTTGGAGAGAAGTCCATGCTCGTGAGGGTTTAGGGTTTAGGGTTTAGGGTTTAGGGTTTAGGGTTTGGGGCCTAGGGTTTAGGATTTAGGGTTTGAGCTGCAGGCGGGCTTTTTTGTATGCGTACGGCAAGCGGGCTGTATGGTTTGGGTCTGAGCTGCTTTCGGGGGGCCTGAGGCTAGGGTTTAGGGTTTAGGGTTTAGGGTTTAGGGTTTAGGGTTTAGGGTTTAGGGTTTAGGGTTTGAGGTGTGCAGACAATTCAACCGACCTACGGATACGGCGAAGCGGGAGCTGGCGGCACAATACCTCCTAACGCGACGCTGAAGGTGCCAAACCCTAAACCCTAAACCCTAAACCCTAGTGCGGAGTAGTGTTTGGAGGTAGCATAGCGGCTTTTGGTCGTTAGCTAGGGTTTAGGGTTTAGGGTTTGGGTTTTGGGTTTGTTTAGTGTGCGGGTTTCTGGCTGCGCGGAGGGTTGCGGGTTGGGGAGAGCGTAGTAGGTTTCGCGGAAACCCTAATTTAGGGTTTAGTGCGGAAACCGTAATTTAGGGTTTAGGGCGAGAACCCTAATTAACGCTTTAGGGCGGAAACGCCAATTTAGGGTTTGGGTTGGAAGCCCTAGTTTAGTGTTGAGGGCGAAAACCCTAATTTAGGGTTTAGCACCCTAAACCCTAATTTAGGGTTTAGGGCGTAAACCCTAATTCGTGGTTTTTTGCAGTTCGAAGTGGAGCTGCTGAGTTTCCGGGCGAAGGCGAAGCAGCCGTGGGCCATGAGCGTGGAGGAGAAGATCCAAGCAGCAGCAGATGAAAAAGAAAAAGGAAATGCAGCTTTTAAAAAAAAAGATTTGGCAGAAGCTGCAGCAGCTTATCGCGAGGGTTTGGCGTTTCTGGAGCACTCCAGCCACTG